AACAGAACTGGAGTCTGTAAGGGTCGAAGCAATTCAAAGGATTGTGAGAAACAAAATAGCTGGTGTCTCTATTCACTGTACCATTGGCTCTGGACTGTCACAGTACTGTGAGCAATGACTGAAAACCAGAGATGTGAACTCTCTGTCTCCATGTGTTTTTGTTGGGCTTTGTGTATATGATAACTGCTGTGAACAAGCACAACTCCAGACTGAAGTCAATCACATACCCAAGGATACAGTTTAGCACCAAGCTCTGGCCAGAGCCCAGAGAACAGTAAGACATCCAGACATTCACTGGAAGGAACACCAACAAATATAGCAATGAGAAAAGAAACTCTCAGTAGGTCCAGCAGCATCTTTAGCACTGACGAAGGGTCACTGCTTAATGTTAACTCTGCTTTCTCTCCACAGATGCTGCCTGATCTGCTGAGTTTCTCCAGCACTTTCTCTTTCTGTGCCGGAGATGCACTGTCCAAGTGTGCCCAGTCCTCCAAAGGTGCCACACCATCACCTGTCCCCCTTCACCTCCCCACCCCTCCTGGACATTAGGGGTTTGGAGGAGGGGTGTTTTACTGAGGGCATGCACTGGCTGGGGTTAAGGTGAGGGACCACAAGTTTGGAAACCCCACATTGGGAGCCTGCAGTTGGGGGAATGGGCATGGTGCTCACCGCCGATCTCAGTGGGAAGCAAATGGCCAGTGGACCCAGGTGACAATGATGGTGGCCATGTTCGCTCAGGGTCCTGAGGTGAAATGTTTGGTAAATTAAGACAGATGCTGGAAATAAAACGTAGAACAGTCCAGCACAGCAACAGGCCCTTCAGCCCACAATGTTGTGCCAAACATGACACGAAATTAAACCAATCCCTTCTGCTTGCCCTTAATCCATGTCCCTCCATTCGTTGCATATTCAGGTGTTTATCTAAAAGCCCCTTAAACACCCCCATTGTATCTGCCTCCAGCACCTCCCTTGGCAGCATGTTCCAGACTCTCTGTGCAAAAAAACTTGCCCCTTACATCTCCTTTGAACTTTCCCCTTCTCACCTAAAATGTATGTCCCTTAGTATTTCAACTCTGGGAAAAAGATTCTGTCAACTCTATCTGTGCACCTCATAAATTTATAGACTCCTGTCAGGTCTCCCCTCAGCCTCTGCCACTCGAGAGAAAACAACCCGAGTTTTTCTGAAGAAGGGTCTAGGCCTGAAACGTCAGCCTTTCTGCTCCTCTGATGCTGCTTGGCCTGCTGTGTTCATCCAGCTCTACACCTTGTTATCTCAGATTCTCCAGCATCTGCAGTTCCTACTATCTCTGAGTTTTTCTAGCCTCTCCTTATAGCTCATACCCTCTAATCCAGGCAGAGTCCTGGTAAACCTCTTCTGCACCCTCTCCAAAGCCTCCACATCCTTCCTGTAATGTTGCAAGCAGAATTGAATGCAAAACTCTAAGTGTGGCCTAAACAAAGTCTTATAAAGCTGCAACATGACATCCTGACTCTTGTACTCAAATCCCCAACCAATAAAGGCAAGCATGCCATATGCCTTCTTTACCCCCCTATCTACTTGTGTGGCCACTTTCAGGGAGATGTGGACTTGAACCGCAAGATCCCTCTGCACATCAATGCCATTATGTCCTGCCATTAACTGTATACTTTTCCTTAACATGTGACCTCCCAAAGTGAAGTACCTCACACTTACCCAGATTAAACTCCATCTGCCATTTCTCTGCCCAAATCTGCAACTGATCTATATCCTGCTGTATCCCTCGACAATCTACTCTGAAAGAAAACCAGAAACTGCTGGAGAAACTGAGCAGGTCCAACAGCATCTGTGAAGAGAGAAACGGAGTTAATGTTTCAATTCCAGCGACCCTTCTTCACTGACCCCGGTTTTGTATGGGATGGGGGGTGTTCCTGCCTTTGGGGTATGGTGACAATGTAAAAGTGGTAGACAAATAATCTGTCCCCACCACCCCTCCCTCCCTCCCTCTCCCCCCCAACAAAATATTCTTTTCTGGGATTCAAAGCCAGCCCATCCCTAATTGCCCCTGGACTGGAGGTTTTGTCAGCCATTTCAGAGGGAATGACAGTGAGCCACATTGCTGAGGGTCTGGAGTCATGCGTAGGGTTGTAGATCAGGTAAGGACGGCAGATTGCCTTGCTTGAAGGACATCAGGTGGGATTTTTCTTTATTCGTTCACGAGATGAGGACGTCGCTGGCCAGGCCAGCATTTATTGCCCATCCCTAATTGCCCAGAGGGCAGTTAAGAGTCAACCACATTGCTGTGGGTCTGGAGTCACATGTAGGCCCAGACCAGGTAAAGATGGCAGTTTCCTTCCCTAAAGGACATTTTACAATAATCGATGATAGTTGCCATGGTCACCATCACTGAGGCCAGTTTTTGATTTGAGGTTTATCGGTTGGATTAAAAATCGAGCAGCAGCCATCAGAATGGAATTCATGTCCTCAGTAATTAGCCCAGTGATAGTACCCCCTCGCTGAAATATTAGAACTGAAAGCACGTTGAGGTTAGAGTTGGGATTTTGACAGAGAGGCTTACTATTTCTTCTGTCAGGTCAGAGCTTCAAATTCCACCCAGTAATCTTCATGGTTTTGTAGGAACCGAGATGGCTAACCCACAGTCAAAACTCACCAAAGAATGGTGAGGCACGGTGGCTCAGTGGTTAGCACAGCTGCCTCATAGCACCAGGGACCTGGGTTTGATTCCAGCTTCACGTGACTGTCCTCCCCATGTCAGTGTGGGTTTCCTCCCACAGTCCAAAGATTTGCAGGTTAGGGTGGATTGGCCGTGCTAACGTTGCCATAGTGTTCACAGATGTGCAGGCTGGGGTGGGTTAGCCTTGGGAAATGAGGGAAATAGAAACAAGGTTGCTGGAAAAGCCTGGCAGCATCTGTGAAGGGAAAAACAGAGTTAATATTTCAGGTCTGGTGATCCTTCCTCAGAGCATCCTGAGGAAGAGTCACCAGACCCAAAACATTAACTCTGATTTTTTTCTTCACAGATGCTGCCAGACCTGCTGGGCTTTTCCAGCAACTTCTGTTTTTGTTCCTGATTTACAGCATCCGCAGTTCTTTCGGTTTTTAATTAGCCACAGGAAATGCCTGAGGGAGTATGGCTCTGCCAGTCCCCATGGGATGTGACACCGTCCCAGGACAAAGCAGCCCACCTTGATTGGTCCCACACCCACAGGGATATGGTGAGTCAGGGTGGGATGCTCTTCAGAGGGGTGATGTGGACTTGATGGGCCAAACGGCCTGCTTCCACACTCTGGGGATCCCAGGACTGATGGGACTCCAATTCTTGAAGATGTGCCAGTGGGAGAACTGATGCTTTCCAGTGGGTTTGTCTGTCACATTTATACACATTTCACATGTTGAGTATAGAGCATTCAGGGCTGATCTGACCGATGTACAACAAACATTGTTTTAACGGGGCACCCTCCTGAACTGGCACACTTGATAAACCGGTAAACTGTAATATACCTGAAATACCGGCAGTTTACTGTATTATTGCAATGTCTAAGTAGTCAGTTGGTGGTGTGAGTGAGAAGGCTCTCTGCAGGTAAGTTTTATTTAAGGCAAAGTTGCATTATTATTTAAGTGATATGTGCTGTAAATAAGGTGATGTGTATACCCCTGTGTTCTGTTTCGGTTATTGAGTGTGTGCTTTAACATGATGTGGACCCCTTCATCAACCAGAATGTTTGACCAACTGGTAGACTCCTGGTCCCGTTGGTGCCCATTAATAAAATGTTTGCTGCATTTTCAATAAGACTGAAGGATTTGATGGAGAGAAGCTATTTGCTATGGAGAGGATTATCCAGAACAAAGAGGCAGAAGCTTTGAATCAGAGCCGGTGGATTCAGGGTTGGGAAGTGTTTGCTCACACAAACACTATTCACACATGCCTGAAAGAGTACAGCTCTGTCAATCCCTAAGGAATGTGGTACCATCCAGGACAAAGCAGCCCCCGCTTGATTGGCACTACATCCACAAGTATCCACTCCCTCCACCACCGACGCTCAGTTGCAGCAGTGTGTACCATCTACAAGATGCACTGCAGAAATTCACCAAAGATCCTCAGGCAGCACCTTCCAAATCTACGACCACTTCCATCCAGAAGGACAAGGGCAGCAGATACATAGGAACACCAAGGTCCCCTCCAAGTCACTCACCATCCTGACTTGGAAATATATCGCCGTTCCTTCACTGTCGCTGGGTCCAAATCCTGGAATTCCCACCCTAAGGGCATTGTGGGTCACGCACAGCAGGTGGACTGCAGTGGTTCAAGAAGGCAGCTCACCACCACCTTCTCAAGGGGCAACTTGGAACGGGCAATAAATGCTGGGCCCCGCCAGTGATGCCCAGGTCCTGTGAACTACATAGTGAAAAAGAAAGGGTAGTGGAATTCCTGACCTCTTCTTCTGTTCAGTCGGGGCTCAATTGAAAGTGTCCAAACTGATAGATTTTTGTGAGGTCAGAATGTTAAAATATCGAAACAATCCAGGTAGGATGATGGAGTCAAGATAAACAATGTTATTACTCAGCTAAGCAGAATGGGCTCAAGGAGTTGAACAGCCTTACCCTGCCCTATGGCGCCTGATTGTGAGAAATTTGTGTTAAAGTTAAAATGAGCCCTCCCTATCATTGGGAAGTAAAACAAGGTGACGTTTTAAAATATCATTTGTGGGATGTGGACATTACCGGAAATTATTGCCCATCTCTAATTACTCTTGAGCACAATGGCTTGCTCAGCCATTTCAGAGGGCAGTTAGGGTGATGCGGTGGCTCAGTGGTTAGCACTGCTGCCTCACAGCACCAGGAGCCCTGGTTCAATTCCAGCCTTGGGCAACTGTCTGTATGGAGTTTGCACATTCTCCCTGTGTCTGTGTGGGTTTCCTCCAGGTGCTCCGGTTTCCTCCCACAGTCCAAAGATGTGCAGGTTAGGATAGATTGGCCATGCTAAATTGCCTGTAGTGTGCAGGTTGGGTGGGTTAATCTTGGGAAATGTGGGGTTAAAGGGATAGGGTGGGATGCTGTCTGGAGGGTAAGGATGGACTGAATGGCCTACTTCCATGCTGGAGGGATTCCACAAAGAGTCAACCAGATTTTTGTGGTCTGGAGTTACATGTAGGCCCCAGACCAGGTAAGGATGGCAGACTTCCTTTCCTAAAGGACATTAGTGAACCAGACGGGTTTCTATTGAACATAGATTCGTGGTCACCAGTACACTAGATTTTATTCCCAATTTTTTCATTGAATTTCAATTCCACCAACCCCAGGAGACTTTTGGCTGGGTATTCAGATTGCTTTAAGCCAGTGACATTAGCATTACACTACTATCTCCCACTGAACATACCTCCAGGGGAATAGTCTGATCCAGACTCTGTAATGAAGCAGAAATAGTTCACGGCCAACGGTGCGAGTGAACTTTAGCGAAAATAAATAAAAACAAAAATAAACAGCCATGATCATACCCCTTTCCCCAGCCTGGTGGGAACTCTGCTCTGTTTTGTGTGTAAATCTTTTTAAAATCCCGAACCATTAAATAACAACACACGGCTCACAAATCACATAATCTTCCCCACAATTACCGTCGTTGAATGTTTTGTTTCATTTCGAAGGCCCCGTTGACAGGGCCTGAGCCCCCAAGGCCCGGCCTGCCTCAGGAGTTAACAATCTGCCCAGACCAGGTCTCGTGCTTGGTGCCCGGTGCCAGGTGGGTGATGACCACCTCGACCGCTTGGTACTTCAGGTTCTTGGGTGGGACGGCACAGACCTTGTATGTGACCTCGTCACCTTCCACCGGCACGTACTCCCCCTCAATGCTGGAAGAAAAGAAAGATTGGGAAGGCTGGTCAAAGCACTGGACCCTGATGGACATCATATATCACAAGGCAAAAGTAACGTACAGAATGTGGAGAGTCAAGATGAAATAACACTTCAAATTGAAAATGACTCATAGAGTCATAGAGTAATACAGCATGGAAACAGGCCCTTCGGCCCAAACTGACCATGGTGCCCACTCAGCTAGTTCCAATTGCCCGCATATCCCTCTAAACCTTTCCCATCCATGTACCTATCAAATGTTTTTTTAAATGTTGCTATTGTACCTGCCTCAACCACTTTCTCTGGCAGCTCATTCCATATTCGCACCACTCTCTGTTTAAAAAAGTTGCCCCTCAGGTCCTTCTTAAATCTTTCTCCTCTTTCCCCACTCGCCTCCAAAGATGAAGCTAGAAAGTTCTTAGCTTAACACCATCTGGAGGAATTTTCTACTGAGGTGCGTGCAGCCTTCCCAATTCAACACTGAGTTCAATAAAGTCAGAGAATCATTTCTGTCTTCTGTTTTGTTTAGAAACCCCTCCCAACATCGTCCATGTCTTGTTGGTTTTTGCTTTTAACAGTGTGGGCCCACATTCTCCCTTACACACCTCTCATTATCACCTATTTTTCACCTCTATCCTTCCTTTGCCACCTTTATTGCCTTTTGCTCTCGATACACTCAGTATCTGTTCCACTTGTTCCTCTTGTTCCTCTTCCTCCCCCCTCTCCCAGCAGCATAAAAACCACATTCCAGCCCCTCTCCATTCTGAACTAGAGGCAGATCAGACTCGAAATGTTGACTCTGTTTCGCTCTCTCCACAGTTGCTGCCAGACCTGCTGAGATCCTCCAGCCTTCTCAGTTCTAGTTTTCGGTTTCACCATCCACTGTTTTTCACTTTTTGAAGGTGTGGCTGGGTGCTGAAATGGTCCTCATCAATTTGATAAACATTGCAATGAGACAGCACCCAAAGGAATGGTTTGCTGTGAATTGCAGATACATTGCCCAGTCCTCCCCTGGGGGCTCACTCATCTCTGATGGATACGGCACCTTCCGTCACCTCAACTGATCCCAACGTGCTTTCCCATCAAAATCCCTTTACTTGTGTAGTCATGGAGGAAAAGTGGCAGCCATGTTGTACACAGCAAGCTCCCACAAACCACAGTGTGGTTGTAAATGAGTATTTTTTTTAGTTTATTCAGGGATAAACAGTGACCGTTGATTTGAGAATGACGTTGACTCAGGGTCTCAAGCTTCTGCCGTGAGTCTCCAATGTGATTGGACAGGCTGATTACTGACTGGCTCAAGGGGGCAGGATGTTCCATGAGGCAGTGGGATCCCGGGTGTGGGATTTGCTTCCATCTCTTTCCCTCTCTGTCGCCTCGCTGCCCCGTTATTAAGACATTGTGACTCGAAGGGTGAGGCAGATCCATGGTGCCATTTTGAGCTACTGGAGCACAGTGCCCAGTCCATTAACATCGATCTCACGGGAGATCTCTGTCCAAGTGCCTATGGCGCGTGGTTCAAGGAGGACACTAGAGTTTGTTTGACAGAGGTGGGGTGGCGTAGGGGAGTGCTGTACTGCCAGAAGAACCACAAGGCGGCTGGGATATTAAATCCAGATATTATCTGCAACTCGGGGAGATGCCAAAGGTCCCCTGGCATGATCTTAAAGAGGAGCAGGGTGAATTCCCCTGGTGCCATTACTTATCCCTCAATAAACATGACAAAAACAAAATACGTCTGTATTTTCACCTGTGAAAGCTCGCTCGGAACTATCCACCACATTTTCTGCAGTACAGCAGCATGTTCTTGTTCAAGTTGTGGCCAAGACAAGTTTCATCTTTCAGGGTTTTAATTTATTGAATTTAAATTCCACCAGCTGCCATGGCAGGATTTGAACCAATTTTTATTTTTTTCTTTATTCATCATGGGATGTGGGCCGTCGCTGGCTAGACAGCATTTATTGCCCAGCAGGCATATCAGAGTCAACCACATTCTCCCAGCACGTCTGCCTGTCCCCTGGGTGACTGGTCCAGTGACCTTCCCACTATATCACTGTCTTCCTCACTATCAGCCAGGCTGTAAATGGCTGAAATGTTCTCTGGGGATTGTAAGAGTCCACTCTCTGTGCTCTGCTCCGAGATGCATTGCTGCCTCAATCGTGGCTGAAGGTCCACCCTGAGCTGGTCATCGGTTTCCATCGGTGAGGTTGTTGACTTGCTCGCCGAGCTGGCTTGTTCTCGCTCAGACATTTCGTCACCATGCGAGGTGACAGCGAGGCCTCCGATAAAGTGATGTTGTTCTACTGTCCGGTCCGTTATGGTGAGTAGTGTCATTTCCGATTTTGATCTGTATGGGTTTGTATATGGGGTCCAATTCTATATGTTTGTGATTGAAGTATGGGTGGAGAACCATGCCTCTAGGAATTCCCATTCCCACAACATGCAGAACCAATGTGGTTTACAAAATACCATGCAATGACTGCCACAAACATTACCTCGGACAGACAGGAAGGAAACTAGCCATCAGAATACATGAACATCAACTGGCAGCAAAACGGCATGATGAACTCTCCTTAATATCTGTACATTCAGACAATGAAGGCCATCAATTTAGCTGGGACAAGGTAACCATAGTAGCCCAAGCCAAACATAGACACGCACGGGAATTCCTAGAGGCATAGTTCTCCACCCATACTTCAATCAACAAACATATAGAATTGGACCCCATATATAAACCAATACAGATCAAAACCGGAAATGACAGTACTCGCCATAAGGACCATACAGTATAAATTCCAAGCAGAGTAGAATAGCATCGCTTCATCGGATGCCTCACTGACGATGTCACCTAGCATGGTGACGAAACATCTGAACAAAAACAAGCCAGTTCGGTGAGCAAGTCAACAATCTCACCCACAACCCGAGCTACAGATCTTTGCCAAAACTTTAAAGGTTTCCATCTGTGTCGGTTTGTCACCACGTTCCTTGCTCGGAGTTAGGGCCCTAATGGTACCTGTGGCATTGGCTCAATTTGCAATCACATGTTGGCCAGATGTGTGTTGGAGAGTGGAGCATGATGTAGAGTTTCCAAACTTCCTTCCATCTCATGGACCGAGAATTGGTCCCTTTCCAACTGCCTGATATTGGTACGGTGGCTCAGTGATTAGCACTGCTGCCTCACAGCACCAGGGACCTGGGTTCAATTCCACCCTCGGGCGACTGTCTATGTGGAGTTTGCACATTCTCCCCGTGTCTGTGCAGGTTTCCTCCGGGTGCTCCGGTTTCCTCCCACAGTCCAAAGTTGTGCAGGTTAGGTGGATTGGCCATGCTAAATTATCCATAGTATGCAGGCTAGGCGGGTTACCTATGGGTTAGGGTGGAGGACTCCTTTTCAGAGAGTCGATGCAGACTCAATGGACTGAATGGGATGCTCTACCTGTTTGGCCTCATTATGAACACAGCTCCTCAGTCACCCAACCCTGTAGTGGGAGTCAAAACCAGAGAATCTGGGGTCAGGCAGGACATTGGGGTTGGGGATTATCAGATAGGCCATGATTTCATTAATTGGCTGAGTAGATTCAATGGGCCGAATGGCTTGCCTCTATTCCTACATTTTACATTCCTATGTTTCTGGCTCAGCAGGAGGCAATGCAAGACTTCCCAGTTGTCAAAGATGCTATATAAATGCACGGCTTTTTGAAACATGTATTTTCTTTCAGTTCAGCGGAGTGACTGATCCAAGTGGAATTTAGCCTTCCAGGGTAGCTTGCTTCTTGCCCCAGGGGGAGATGAGACTGAACAAAAACAAAGTTGCTGGAAAAGCTCAGCAGGTCTGGTAGCATCTGTGGAGGAGAAAACAGAGTTAACGTTTCGGGTCCGGTGACCCTTCCTCAGAACCTCAGATGAGACTGAACCATGTCCAAGGCTGCATCCTACTGGTAGACTCACAAACCGCTCAGTCATATTGATACAAACAGCTGACTGCAAACCTCCTCCCTCACTGTATGAATAAACTGATCATAGTCTCCAGATCTGAACTGATGAGAACCTCCAGTTACTACTCCTCCCCACGCCAGTCTCCTAACTGTCTCTTATCCCACAGCTATAGATACGTTAAACGTAAGATGGTTTGACATTGCCGTTACTCACTCAGAGATGTGTACAAAGATGTCCTCTTTCCCATCCATGGGTGTAATGAAGCCGTGACCCTGTGACCTGGAGAAACACTTGCATTTTCCCTTCGAAAGAGGCCCAAGATTAGCCCGAGCTGAGCTGGAACAGGAAAGGCCGGTGTGAACAGTGTGAATACCAGTCTTGGGGAACAAACCTGAACCACCCTGTCAAATTGCAGAACAATGCAGCACAGAAAAGGGCCATTCAACCCCTCAGATCTGTGCCGTCCCTTTTTAGATGAGCATTCCCAGTTAGTCCCAATCCCCTTCACTGTATTCCTACAAGCACAAAACACTGGAGAAACTCAGCAGCTCTGGCAGCAGAGAAACAGAGTTAACGTTTCGAGTCAAGTGACGCCCTGATTGGAACTGGCCTCATGTAACTCAGTTCCTCTCTCCACAGGTGCTGCCAGACCTCCTGAGTTTCTCCAGCTATTAGTGTTTTTAGTTTCAGATTTCCAGCATCCGTTGTTCTATGTTTTTAACCTTCAGGAAGTTATTTATTTGGAAAGGTATTTTTGAATCTGCCTACACCCCTCTAACAGGCAGTGTGTTCCAGATCCCATCCACTTGGATAAAGAGAGGTTTTTTTTCGTTTTGCAGTGTGGAAGCCAAGCCAATAAGAAAGGATCCTGTTTGGCCAGGTGAGATTAGGAGATGCTGGAATTGTTCCCGTTATTCCTGGGGACGGAGAGCCGATCATCAACCAGGGGTTCCCGCTCCTGTTTACAATCCAGCTTCCCTTATTGCTGAAGCAAGGGCTGATGGTGTGTGGGTCTTAGAGTGTGGGCTCACAGCAGATCCACCAGTGGCCCCAAAGGCTCTCTCCTCATGCACAGAGCAGATGTGGACAAGGGCGTAGAAAATAGGTTTCTGTATTGTGTACAGACAGGAAAGGGTTAATACTGAGGAGCGCCTTAAATCTCGGATGGAATTGACGACAGAGCAGCCTAGCACCTCGCAGGAGTTAATCCTAATTCCCAGTCAGTCTCATGGTCTTTGCTGTCATGTGTATCATGCCAATAGAGCATTACACGTAGGAGCAGGCCACTCAGCCCATCGGGTCTGCTCCACCATTCAATGAGATCAATGGCTGATCTGATTATCCAGTTGGTGGTATGGTGGACAGTGAAGAAGGTTATCTAAGATTACAAGGGGATCTTCATCAATTGGGCCAATGGGCTGAGATGTGGCAGATGGAGTTTAATTTGGAAAAAAGTTTAAGATGTTGCATTCTGGTTAAAACAAACAAAGGCAGGACTTATAACGTTAATGGTAGAGCCCTTGGTAGGTTGTCAAACAGAATAGTCAGGTTCACGGTTCTTTGAATGTTGCGTCACAGGTAGACAGAGTGGTTAAGAAGGCATTTAGCATGCTTACCTTCATTGCTCAGACCTGTGAGTATAGAGCCATTAAATGTGAATATAGGCAAAACTTCAAAACAAAGCCAAGCCTCGGCCAAATGGTTAACATTTTCTTCAGGATCTGGGCCAGATAACCACTGTAGTTGCTGCTGGTGTGTAGACTTGAGACAGCAAAAAAGTCCCATTATGAGGTTGTATAGGACATTGGTGAGGCCTCTTTTGGAGTACTGGTCACCCAGCTATAGGAAGGATATTATTAAGCTGGAGAGGGTTTAGAAGAGATTTACCAGGATGTTGCTGGGAACGGAGGGTTTGAGTTATAAGGAGAGGCTGGATAGGCTGGGACTTTTTACACTGGAGCATAGGTGGTTGAGGGGTGACCTTATAGAGATTTATAAATCATGAGGAGATGAATAGCAAAAGGACTTTTCCCTTGGGTGCGGGAGTTCAAAACCAGAGGGCGTAGGTTTAAGGTGAGAGGAGGAAGATTTAAAAAAGACGTCGGGGTAACTTTTTCAAACAAAAGGTGGTTTGTGTGTGGAATGAACTGTCAGAGGAAAGTGGTAGATGCAGGTACAGTTACAACATTTAAAAGACATTTGGACAGGTACATGAATAAGAACGATTTAGAGGGATATGGGCCAAACATATGTAAATGGGACTAGTTTAGTTTGGGAAACTTGGTCAGCATGGACTAGTTGGACCGAAGGGTCTGTTTTTGTGTTGTATGACACTATGACTCCATGACTCACTGACCTGCCCTTTCCCCATAACCCTCGATTCCATCACTGATTAAAAAGTTATCTATCTCAGCCTTAAGTATACTTAACAACCCAACCTTAAATGCCGTTTGTGGTAAAGAATTCTGTGCAGGTTCATACCATCTGGGAGCAAAAACATTCCTTCTCATTTCTGACCTAAACGTGTAACCCCTTATTTTGAGATTATACCCTCTGGTCCGTGGTGTAGTGATTGTAACAAGGTCAGTCAGGTGGACCTCATAGAATATGAGTTCCCTCATTGGGGCTGTTAACCTGGTCCCATCAGGGAGCCCTGGCTGATGGATATAAACAGGAGCATCAGGGATTCTGCTCACTCTGTGAGCTGGCTCTGAGGGAGTTTCATCAGTGTCAAGGGCTCTCCATGTGTAAATAAAAGGAGGCTTGGTAATGGGATACTGGCCTCTGTGCAGTTATTTCAGAGGTGGCGAGAATGGGATTAATGATGCGACCATGCAAAAGCACCCACTAGCTGAAGCCCAACTGGACTTCAAACAGGCACCACAACTGGACTTTATCATTGGAAAATGTGGCAAGTGCAGCATGAGTTACAGGGTATTTCGATTGAAATGCATACCGTTGCCAGTCTGACTGAGTTTGAGGATCACCACTTTAGTAAAGGCAGTTGCACAGCCTCACACAGGACATATCTTGAACAGAGGGACTCTGGGTCAGCCCACAGCAAAACCCCAAAACAAAGCCAAGCCTCGGCCAAATGGTTAACAATTTCTCCAGGATCCGGGCCGGTGAGCCATTGTAGTTGCTGCTGGTATGTGGCCTCGAGATGGTTAAAGAGATCCACTAGGCCTGAATGGAGTAAGAGAACTCATAGGCCAGTATCCAGGAGAATGCACACCCTGGAAAGCTCACCTACATCTGGTTTAGAACAATTAATTGGCTTAGCAACATCCAAATCAGAACCAATCAAAAGAAACGTCTGGTTAAATGGTCACCTGGTTCTAATGGAGGTTGATAGTGGGCGTGGCTGTTTCTGTGATGGCAAAACCAGGCTTTAACAAAATTCACTCTGGACTCCAACCGTTAGCCAGACTGAGAACTTAAACCGGGGAACGTTTACAGATTAATGGTACATCTCCAGTTCCGGTCTCTTATGAGAAGCATCTGGCTCAGTTACCACTGATTGTAGTAAAAGGCTCGGGCCCAAGCTTGATTGGTTGAGAAAGATTCACCCTGATTGGCTCAACATCGTTCAATTAGAAAATGGCTGCCTGAGTGAAGTCCTAATTAAAGATCTGGAGGTTTTTCCAGGAAGGTCTGGAGACTTTCAAAGTGGCCAAGGCCATCTTGCATGTTGACCAGGGAGCAATCCCACAATTCTGCGAGGCCCACACAATGTTAATTGTCTCACGAGTAAACGTAGAGGCAGAATGCCCAATAGCGTACACATCCAGGATATTGGTTAGTGCAGAGCGTAAATAGGCCCAGATAGAGAAGGAAGGTTTGGTGGTCATATTTGGAGTCAGGAAGTTCCACCAATATCTTTATAGATCTAAATTTGTAATAATAACGGATGATAAACCTCTACTAGGTCTACTTAAGGAGGACAATGGTACGTGTCTTTTCCCTAGGGTGGGGAATTTCAAGACATGAGGGCACATTTTTAAGGTGAGAGGAGAAGGATTTAAGTAAGACATGAGAGGGAAATTTTTTTACAGAGAGGGTGGTTCGTGTGTGGAATGAACTTCCTGAGGTAGCGGTGGATGTGGGTACAGTTACAACATTTAAAAGACATTTGGATAAGTACATGAATAGAAAAGGTTTGGAGGGATGTGGGCCAGGAGCAGGCAGGTGGGACTAGTTTAATTTGGGATTATGTTCGGCATGGACTGGTTGGACCGAAGGGTCTGTTTCTGTGCTGTAGGACTTGATGACTCTATGACAAGGCACTGCTGCTCATAGCTTCAGGTTGAATTTAGCAGCGGGCGCTTAGTCTGAGTGTGTACAATAACAAGTTGGAACACCATCCGGGAGGCCAAGTAGCAAATACGCATGCATTGAGCTGCCTCCTGCAGACAGATACACCACCGGTGGTACTATCGCGGGAAGAGTCTGTAATAGTTTTAAATTTTCTGGACACACTCCCGATCACAGCTGAATATATCAGACTTTGGGCACAGAAAGATCCCATCCTGGCAAAACTGAAGGTATTCAGAAATACCTTCTGAAACTCCAAATACAACACATCTACGGGTTCCCCTCTATCCATTCTGGTTGAGTCTTCCTTGAAAAACTCTAATAAATTAATCAGACATGAACTCCCTTTCATGAAGCCATAGTGACTCAGCTTGATTGGATGATACTTTTCTAAATGTTCTGCTATTTCTTTCTTTATAATTGATTCCAATACTTTTTTCCAATACTGTTTCTGTGCTGTATGACTTGATGAATCTATGACAAGGCACTGCTACTCATAGTGATGGGGGGAAACCAAAGGACCGTCACAAAGAGAACTGAAACCTTTTTGACTCAAAGAGGCCAGATCACAGTAGAGGATGGTATATTATTAAGGGGAAAAGAGTGATTGTCCTGAGCAAAGGTCACCGTTAGATACTGATTGAACTCTACCAGGGTCATCCATGGGTGTCCAAAATGAAGACGTTGGCGAGAAGTTACGTCTGGTGGCCAGGATTGGCTGCCGACATAGCCGTGTTGGTGGGGCACTGCCCAGAGTGCCCACAGGGACAAAAAGTATGGCAGCAGCACCCACACATTCGTGGGTTGGCCGGGCCTGGTTACACATTGACTATGCAGGTCCTTTCGTGGGTTCAATGTTCTTAGTCATTGTGGACGCCCACTCAAAGTGGCCAGATGTGCACAGAGTTCATTTGTCAAACACGGGGGCGACAATAAAATAAACTACGTGCATCTTTCACAATACACGGACTTGTGGAAGTGTTGGTCACAGATAATGGGCCATCATTTCAGAGCAGGGAATT